ATTCCTTACTAATATTAGATTTCATCTGCTGTTTTATTGCTCATAATCATGAGATCCATCTGCAATTCTTTGCAGTCACGTTCCAGACTATTCTGCAAACATTGTTCCCTCCCAGCTCATCGTAAGGACATGTTTCACTGAGAAACCTGAAGGACGTTGTAGTCATTTCACTCCACTGTGAAAACTTCTTATTCCTGCCTCTTTACCTCTCTACATCATCCTTTATTAGGTTATGAATCTTCAGGAGGACTTTCCTCCCTGTCTTTTGTCAACTTAGTTGTTTTAAAAGCCTTCTGTATGAGGGACATTGTTAAATGTTTTTTAAAAATCTAAGTATTTGCATTGGCTGGGTCACTTTTAAACACAAACTTGTGGGTTCTTCGGAAAATTTTCTGAGGAATGGTTTCTCTCTCCAAAAACCATATTGACGCTTCAGTGTTGTATCATGTTTTTCCATGTGTCTGTTCATTTAATATAATCTTTTTTCATTCATAATAACCAGGAAAAACCATACTATTCAACTATAGTGTTTATTATGTCAAAGTTTACAGTATTACTAATGGACTGCTGACAGTATCTTACCTCACAGTCTTTAGGGATTACATGGAATTTAGAGAGTCAGGCTGAAATCTGTGGGTGTTTGGGTTTGTGGGGTTTATTTTCTTTTTTGTGGGTGGTGGTGTGTGTTGTGTTTACTGGTAACAGCTTAAGAATAAAGTATCTTGTATCCACTGTTCTTACTCATCCTGCACGATCTCCCTGTACAAATCTCCTCCACTTACACCTCTGTATGCCTTTGTCTGGAAGTACTAAGGCCTTGCTAACAATCTATAACCAAGCTATTCCTAAACCTAGCATTAGCAAGCTTCATCCACATAATTACCTTTTTATCTGCAGCTAATTCATAGTATGAATTGTATGAAATAGTATGATTTAACATAGTGCATTCACTATGCAGCAGCCATTAATTTTCTAATTTCATCTTTGTTACTTCGAGTAATTTTATGTAGTTTCTGGACTGGAAGGGATGTGTAGAGAATTTTAGATGGAGAATGTTCAACAGCTCAAGGGGAAAACCACATTTCAACAATGTGGCAAAACTCTCACAGTGACCTCACCAATGTGAGGAGAAGGAGTTCCAAATGTTTGCAATGCTTGGTTGTCAAAACAGTAATGCATTATTTTATTAGGCAGGAAAAAAAAGAAAGGCAACAAAACCCCCTCACACTTGCCTTCCCATTAGTTTTTTGCACTGAAGTATAAGGCTTCATTATATTTCCAACATCTGTCATATGTGGAAGCAAAATCTTCAGAGTATTAAAACAGACTTGACAGTGTTGTAGGGCATGAAGGTGATGTGTCATTCAGAAACAAGACTGCGTATGGGCCCTGATTTAATCCTTTGGGAGGACTTAGCCTTGTGTAGTTGTATCCGTGACTAAAAATAGTTTGTGTAGGTATGTCAGACTCACTCTCTCTTGCTGTTTGAAGGTGGACTTAAGGAGCTTAATTGTTTTCCCCATTATTAATGGCTTTGTTCCTCCTTGGTTTTTTGTCTGACTCTCATAGATGCAGCAAATACTATGTAAGTTAAATTTTTATTTGTAGAGAGTGATATATAGAAATATATGGAGGTATACATATTTGTGTATACATATAATTAAATGTGTGTGTATATGCACCGTCATGAATATTGACAAGCAAAACATTGAACACTAATTTCACTTGCTTTTTCATAGGGGCCAGTATTACTGGAAGTGCTGACTTGGATAACCAAGACTGTTAGTTTTTGTAGCCTGAAAGTCAGTCAACATGTATGCTCAAGGGAAAGATTTGTAGGATTATGGACAACTAAAATGAAGGAGCTGCTGTGAAAGGATAAATTTAGTGGAGCATGAAGTATGTCATGTTCGGAGCACTGCACAAGATATTAACAGCAGTCTGGGAAGACTTTATCATGATGATTTGTTGTAATGTGCAGGCTGCTGTCCCTTTATCCAACTTAACAGTGGCTCCCTTTAGAACTAGTGGTGTACTTAAGGCAGATAAGAGAACAGCTTCCCTTACCAGAAGAAGCCTTCTTGTATATATGGGGGTTTTGTTGTTGTTTTTTTTTTAATCAAGAATGCAATATCATTATGGGTTTTGGTACTTTTCATGTGTCTCCTTATACCAGGAAAAGCAAGTGTGTGGTTTTCTCTTGAAACATCTCCAGAGCAATAGCTTTATAAATTGACTGTTAAAAGATATAGAGAAAGCACTCTTGCATAACCTCATAATTAGTGTAATTAAGAATTAAATACCAGTGCTCATTTTCTTTTTGTTAAGAAAAGGGCATGTCTGTGACATTCTGTTTAGTGAGCTTTTCCTCCAGACTCAGCATGTGATGCATACTCTTTACAAGTGAACAGGGTGGTAGTGTTTGGAGGACAGTTTTCTGCAAAGTCTCTAGTAAAACCTTAGCATTAATGTGAATGTTTATTTTTGCTTCTTACGGAGCACATACACCTTGGATAAATATGCTTTTAGTGTTCCAGTGTAAAAATCATTTTGTGGTTAGCACAGACTGGCTGAACTCATAGCAAAATGAACATATTCTCCTTTGCCAGTACTTCTGATGTACCAAAGTAAAATAACCTTTTCTTTAATAGAAAATGCAACCAACTGCTTTTATGCTCTATTGCTTTTTTGGCTTGCCTTACTGTGTTGTGTGGGGCAGGGGGAATGAGGCAAGAAGAATCAAAAGTGGGGGGGCAAGAGTCTCCCCATTGTGCTGAGACAGCAACAGTATGTGGGGGCTGCAGGGTGACCTGCAACCACAAGCATGTGGCAGTGGCGAGAGGGCAGCAGCCATGAGTGAAAAGAGGACAGCAGCCATGAGGAGTCATGGTGGGGAGGCAGCAGCTCTGTAACTGTTGTGGTCAGGGAGGACCAAGGTGGAAGCACAGAGGAGCTTGTCACAGCAGGGACAGGGCCTGGTGAGCTTTCTGTGGTGGGGATGGCTCTCTCCTCATTCCCAGCAGCAGTCACTTGCAGAGCTGGGCATGCTGCTCTGACTAGCAGGTCTAACAAGGGAGTTCACGTCTCTGAAGGTGCTCAACCAGATGAGAAGGCAGCTCTCATTTGCAGTGACTGCAGGAGGTCAAGGAAGAGTAAATTGAATCAAATTGCAGTAATTCATAGTGAAGATATAGGGGTTGGTTTTGTACTGTGGCTGAAGTTTAGAGGAGAATGTCTAGGAGACTGATTGCTGGGAGAGCAGGTGAGGTACTTTTATTTCTCTTTCATTATCGAGGCTGATAGCTGCACAGATCATTCTTGTCCCGCTGTGAAATAACTTCGGAAGGCAGGAGTGTTCTCTGCACAGATGTGGGTACTTTGGAATGCAGACTATTTTCTGAGACACATTTTTTCATTTGTCTGGTCACATGTTTTTATTACAAAGTGATGTGGGGCATGTGCTTTCTTTTTTCTGCTGAGACAACTGTGGAAGTGACAGCGATTCATTTACTTGTGCTAGAATGAGCATCAGCTGCTGCTTTCCTTCCCCTAATAAAGCTCAGTAAGATTACTTGCCTTCCTTCAAAATAAAAAGTCATTCTTTAACCTCAAATGTGGAGAATAAAAGGAAGTATGATGCTTGACTGAAGGGATCTGTGTTCTGAGCACTGAAAAGTTAAGAAGGGCTTGAGCATTCAAGTGCTGAAAAGAAGTAAGAGTCAGAAGAATTTACAGTTTTTCCAGAGCACATGTTTCCCTGGTATTCCTCATAAGCTTAAATTAGATATCAGTTGGTACTATATTTAGCAAATTTGCTTGGAGTCCCATGTGCTCCAAATAATTTTTCCAGAGCAAGCTTCACTCCTGGAAGTGTCCATGCATGCCTGGCAGTGGTATCTCCATCTCAGCCACGGAACACCTCTTGGCTTTCACCAAGAATTCTTTTTTCTCTTTGCTAAAATTTGGTTTCATGGCCTCAGTCTCTGTGTTTAAAGTAAAGATGCAGCATTAATTCTGAAAGATGCTTTGAAGTATATGGCCAAACAACTTGAATGGGATTTGGATGGTTAGATATTTAGAAAGGTAGCCAAGAAAGTGCAAAACAGTGTTGCTGTCAGAAATTTTTTTGGGAGTTCTTAGCATATATAGGAGGTCTAGGGTAAGAGGGAAAATATTGGGTTTAATTTATTAACTTAATAAACTGAGGAATAAATGTTTTCGTGTTTGAGGCTTTTTGTAGAATTAGAGACATAGTAGGGAGTTACGAAAAACATCTTAAGAGCTATTTTCCCAAGGCTATAATAGTGAAAGGTTTCTGTAATTCCTCTGTTGTCATTCTTAGAATCATTTTATCCAGCAATACCTTGGGTTCTGGTACTATATCAGTATTTTACTTTTGATGACTGTAAATACTTAGGGAAATGGAGCCACCCATACTTCCTTGTAACTTTAACAGCCTCTTGTGAATGAATTTGTGAACAAGATAGCAAGATCTTCCCCTCACCCCACTTCGGTTTCCCTGTTCTTCTGGCATAAGCATTATGTAGATAAGTCAGTTTTGAATTGTGTGCTTTTCTTGTTAATTATATTTGCAATATATTTGAAACAGTGGTGTCCTCTTGTGAAGCAAAGGAGAATTATAACTTCACAAGACTCAAGTGATGTGGGAACTTCTTTTGAAAAACCAGCATCACTTAAATTGCAACAGATATTGATTGCTGAGTCTCCAGTTTCTTTGCAGTTAAGCATAGGTTCATTTTCTGTGGTCTATTTCAAACAAACTTGAAGCAATCATTGGATCAGGGACATGACTGTGCCATCACAGCTGGAGTAATAATACAGCAACTGTATTTTTATTTTGTAGCTGATGCTTTTTTCAAAGCTGCAGTGAGCCTTGTTCCTGAAGTGCCCAAAATGATCAATGTCGATGGAAAGATGCGACCTTCTGATGCCTTCCTCCTGGAATTCCTTTGTAATTTTTTTTCCACATTATTAGTTGTTCCGGTAAGTTGTGTGTTTATGAATAGCACATAGGCTATTTTGACTTTCCTGATTAAAGATTTAGAGTACGCTGGGCTTTCGGGAGTGGGAGATGCAGTGCTTAGTTTTCCATGAGCAAGCTGAACCCAATTGCTTATTGGCTGCAAAATCACCCCAGTGCCAAATGGGGAGGCATAGTAACTGGAGCTGGAGAACAGCATTGCCTCTCCCAGTAGAACCTTGCACTTAACCGGATTTGGCTAGAGTGAAATCTCACCAACATTTAATTGTGTAAGCATAATTTACTGAAAAGTAAAAGTGGTATTTTAGCTAAACACTCGTAAAATCTAATACCTGAGGAGGGGAAAAATATACAGCTCTAGTTTCTATTAGTTTCAGTTACTTTGTTATAGGTTGCCTAATCTTTTGAGTGGAGAAAAAAAAAACAACCCAGAAGATGTGTTTTGGCATACTTTTCCACTTCTGATGAATATTTCACAAAATACTGCCATTCTACACTCTTCCAATTTTTAGCCAATTGTCAAGTTTAGACATATATATGTAATTTTCCTTCCTATATTTTCAGCTGTAGCTAAAAGATGAGGCAAAATTGTAAATTAATCTGGAAGATCTGAGATAAAACTTACATAGCCAAGGTATTTTGTTGACCTGCCTCTGAAAGAAGGCTATATCAGAATTTGATGCCACTCAGAGAAATGGCTAGAATCAGACGATTGAAGGAGGAATTCGCCTCTTGGATTCAGTAATGAGGAACTTGCAATGAGATACTAGGATTCAGAAATCAGCTTCCACAATTTTTTCTCCTACACACTTCATAGGATAGATGATCAGAAGGAAGTATACCCAGTGGGCTGTGATTTGTCCTATGTATGTTGGTGTCATTGCACCACCAGCTTGACATAAGTTGGGCACAGTATTAAAACTACTTGCAAAACCTCGTAGCTTATGTAAATCAGATGTCTTTATATTCCTTTCATATTAAAAGATTGTTGATTGTCTGTAGCTTTGACTTCCCAATGTAGGTGGTTTCTTCTGAAACTTATAATTATATGAGTAATATACTTGTTTTTATAGCTTACTGACATTATTTAAATTAAAAAGTCTACACAGTGTGTTTAATTTTAGAGGCTTAGCTGTTAAGAAGCTGACAATTAAATTTCGTACTACTCCCCCGTGACTAGAAAACAAAGCATTTCAAAGTTTGCCTGTGGAGGCTGTCTTAGATCAAGTTTGATTATGATTATGGGTCAAATGGACATTTTAGAAGGAAACTGGAACGATTTTTTAAAAGGATTTGCAGGAAGCACTTACTTAAGAAAAGTAGTTGTCAGCTTTGATGATATTTTATAGATACAATATTATGACTAAACCCCTGAATTACTGCAAATAATCCAATTTTTGTTTTGAGGTATTGTTTTTGTGGTATTGTTTTTGACTTACCTTGATTTTTCTTTTCTGTAGGACCATCCAGAACAAGGAGTGTTGTTTCTCGTGCGAGGATTACTAAATGTGATCCAGGATTACACTTGGGAGGATAACAGTGATGACAAAGTCAGGATTTATACTAATGTTTTGCATCTGCTGTCTGCGATGACTCAGGAAGCATATATCTACCATGTAGATAAAGGTAATACCTAAGGGTGGCTCTGTATCCTTGTGTTCCACCGTGCGATTTGTAGTATTGTTATCACCATACCTAGTTAATGAAGATCAGTGGCAGTCAATCTTACAGGATGGATTATTTTCTTATGCAGCTCCAGATATTGTAATTTAAAATAATCCCAGGACGTGGCTCCCGAACAGATGTACAGTCTGTTCTTTAAAGTGAATCTGTGCAGAGTGGTCATGTAGTTTATTCCTGGTGATGCTGGTGCAAATACTTAGAACTATGAATTTTTCAAGTAAATATTAGAATTTTATATGTACGGAGGGTTTTCTTTTAGTCTAAAGTATCAACTTGACTTAATGTGTCAACTTGACTTACAGTTATCGTTCGTGTTTCGTTCACATTTATTAACTCCAGTTAAGCATGCAATGCCTACTCTTTGCTATTTAAAGGATGTATTTGCTGCTTTGAGGACAGGCTTTTAGTTTTGGAAATTGTGGTGGTAACTTACAAAAATCTTCAGGACAGCTAGTTAAAAAAAAAGTAAAGATTTTGCATTTTGTACAATTGCTGTAGTCTTTTTGTAATAATATTTTGATGTGCTATAAAATTTGAGTGTTTGCCTCCTGATCATAGAGCGGTTACTAAATTAAGGTAGAGTATTAATCAGGCCTTTTAAAGCATACTGACAAGATTAGCTAGTCTGAGAGGCCAAGCTAGTTCGGCTTTTTCTTCTAGTTGCACAGGGCTTTCACTAAGAGGCAGGCTGTAATACATTCTGCAGTTTTTCTGGTGAATAGTCCATCAAAGTTACCAACCATGACAAAATACCTCTTGCAGGTAGCAGCACAGAAAATAGCTTTCAGTTGAACTGCTCATTTATAGTAAATCTGTTCTTCAGGTTCTGTAAGGAAATGTGGTTTAGCTGCCTTTTTTTCATTCTGTGTTTTATATGACCAGAACAGCTGCATAATCCCAAGATGAGAAATCTGAATTAATTACATTTCAGTGGAAAAAAGCATGGAAATATAAATTACTAATTTTTCCCCTGTAGTTGGATGATCTTTTTTTTCCTATGTGGACCATGAAGTTTACTTGGGAACAGGGGATCACCTTTTATTTTGGGTGCTGTCTGATTTACCCAGAATACACTTAAACTGCTTAAACTTACACATTTTTTGTAACCAACTTCTTGCTAAAACATCATAAATAAATTAGGCCAAAACACATGTTTAAAATCACAGCTCTAAAACTTGGAGCTCACTTTTCCCTTCTCCCCCCCCAAAAAAAAGAAAATAAAAATCCTTCAAGGTCTGTGAAATCAAAAATATACTTCCTGAATAGAAGATTCTTTTCAGTGTTTTGTTCCTTAAATCAGAACATAGTAGGTAGGCAAGTGATAGGCACTTAAATGAGATTGTTCTGTTTGTTTCATGGAGGGGAGTCATTTTATAACTTCCCAATCTGGTCTTCTATAAATAGCTGGTGTTTTCAGTAGCAAATGAATGCATAACTCTTTAGCCAAACCTAAGCTTGAATTCATCTTTGCAGTTGATTCTAATGATACCCTATATGGTGGAGACTCTAAGTTCCTGGCTGAAATTAATAAACTGTGTGAAACAGTGATAGCACAGATCCTGGATCATCTGAAAACCCTTGGAAAAGAAGAGGTATGTTCTTACTCAGCTCGATTCAGTACAAAACCAAAATTACTTTGGAGTTGAATAAATGTACTAGGTTCTTGACCAGCCATTTGTCATTTACAAAGCTCCAGGAACTTTGCAACAAGAGGAAATTAGGTAATTTTTCTTGTTAAAAGGTGAGTCAGTCACATAGGCAGGCTTGTGGTAGAGAGACCTAATGATGTGAAAGAGATCATGTAACAATTAAAATACATTTTTAATATGCAGGCTAAAGTTACCTGCTTAGCTGAATGTTGTACATGCATAATACAATTAACCAACAAACAGTAGAAGTTACTCCGTGATATCAACTATGTGCCTGCAGTAGCTAGAATGCTTGCAGAGCAGCATAGTGAGGTTAGAGTTAGCTTTAAGTTAACCAGCTTGAGCCCTGGTGTAGTCTGGTTATGGAAACATGATGCTCTGTGAGGTTAAGAGTTAGCTTTAAATTAACTGACCTGATGTAGTTTGGTTATGGAAATATGATGCTCAGTCTGGGATAACTTTTTTTATTATTAGAGTCTTTCTGACTTTAATGAGCTGGATGATGCTGGTATTGCAATTATTGGCCTAAGAGAATTGGAGACAGTGCCACAGTCACTCTTTTGACTGCCATATAGTTATGCCTAAAATCTGCTCTGTATCTGTCCTTCCTGTTGTTTCCTCATGGCTGTCAACTTTCTCTCTCTAAATTGTATTTTCTTGCCAGCTAAGTTAACAGTAGCCTGAAATGACCAGTTTTGTAATGGGCAAAGTAAGAATTCACAATTAGTCTGTTACTGGGTAAAATACAATGGAAACCACTTGGTTTGACTAGTAAAAGTTTTGGGTTCCAGATACTAGGATGAAGTCAGGAGAGAGGTGCAGAGGGAGGGGAAAGATGTTTTGGCTTTACCCTGTTTTTAATGCAGGGTTATATTTGTTCAATACTGAGTACAGAAAACCCTAGGCAGTTCATTGGATTTCTTGATTGGAGTTCAGAGGCTCTGAGGGATCAAATACAGGGTAATGGATTGTATGTGAAGGGCAGGTGGGGGAAGTTTTCAGTATTACTGAAATAATGAGAACTTACTGTTTCTGAGATCAAAACCCTCCACGACTTCCTAAACACCCCTTACTAAACCGCTGTATATTGATAGAAATCCTGAGGCTTGTAGACTGAAATGAGAGGGTGGGGGATGATTAATTTGATGTAATCTTTTAGGTAGCCTGTTTGCACAGTAGCTTGTAGTGTTTGCCAATACAGAATGTGTTGAGTGATACATATTTGGAGGACACTGTGCTAAGTTTAGCCTTTTCTCTACTTTTGCTATCCTATTTATCCCTCCTTGAGCAATAGTCGAGATGTGAGATGAATGAAGTCTTTGCTCAAATACCTCTACATCATTGTACACATCACCACAGTGAACAGCAGTTCTTTTTCAGAACAGGAACAGCAGAAATCAGCCATTCTTGCACAATTTAGAATATCCAAGCAGATATTGGGAAGAGATTTTTAAGAGTTTTCAGGACTGTGGTTTGTATATTAAGGATTTTTTGCATCTGACTCCTATATGGAGTATGTATGTGGGAATGTTTGTAAAGCTTGAAATCTGTGGTTTCTGAAAGGCTTTTTCTTTTCTTCTTTCAAGCTTAGTACTTTGAGTAATGAGATCCTGTGTTATTTCACTGAAGCAGTTGTTGCCTAGAAAACTGGATTTAAAGCTAAGCAGCATGGATGTAGGTCCTTGCCCTGCCTTTGCCTCTGTGGCCTTGGATTTACTCCACTGTCCGTCCTGATTTACAAAGGGGGAGCATTTATTTTGCTTTGCTGAGTAAAAGTCCTTTAGAGATTGAGATAAAAGTTGGTTTGTAAGAATGAATAGTTTTTTGAGGAAGCTGTTGTTGCTGAGGAAATAGAGGCGACGAGAATACTGTCAGAGACCTCCATTTGTGCTGAAGTAGGCCCAATCGTAAAATCACTGTGGTATTTGGATTGCTTCAGTGTCAGTGACCTTTTAGTATTCATCTTCTTGGCTGCTCATTTAAATGAACAAGCCTCTGATGATTCTGCATTTTTTTATTGGTTCATTTCCTTTAAAAGCTATAAAGGAAAATAAATTTTACTCACAATAAAATGCTTTCACCGAAAGGGCAATTTGGAAGAGAACAGTGCATCTTATGTTAACACAGCATGGTCTTTTCACAGTATTGGAGAATGCTTCAATTATGTGACAGTGTTGGAATGGATATTTTCTGTTCTGGATAGTTCTGTAAACTTCAAGCTGTTTCTGGTCACAAGAGCATGTGTCAGTGAATCCTTTTTGCCTTTGGGTGGGTAGAAGACTGATCTTATGCTCCAGGTTTCTTAGGAGTGTAAATACCTTGCCTCTTGCTACTCAGTGATAAATGTCCAGATGGAGTATGTTTTATTCAAAGACGAATTTTGATCCAAAGCATTCAGAACATGTTGTTGTGTCCTTGGCAGTGTCATGTTAGGATGGCAGTCTTCCCACGTACCGTATGATAGATACTGGACTTTTTATGGTAAGTATCAAAAAAGGAGCAGTAGAAAGCAATTTCTGGATATGCTCTTGAGGCTTCTGCTTTCAACACAACTGATTGATAATTTGTCGTGGTTTAAGCCCAGCCGGCAACTTGGAACCACGCAGCCGCTCTCTCACTCCCCCCCCTTTTCCTTCCTCCCCCCGCTCCCGGAGGGATGGGGAGGAGAATCAAAGGAATGTAACTCCCACGGGTTGAGATAACAGCTCTCCAGTAACTAAGGTATAATACAAACCACTACTGCTACTAATAATAATGATACGAGGAATAACAAGGGAAAAGGACACAACCGCTCACCCCCCGCCGACCGATACCCAGCCCGACCCGAGCAGCGATCTGGGCCTTCCGGGTAACTCCCCCCAGTTTATATACTGGGCATGACGTGCTGTGGTATGGAATAGCCCTTTGGCCAGTTTGGGTCAGGTGTCCTGCCTCTGCTTCCTCCTGGCTTCCCCTCCTCTCTGGCAAAGCATGAGACTGAGAAAGTCCTTGGTCAGAGTAAACATTACTTAGCAACAACTAAAAACATCGGTGTTATCAGCGTTGTTCCCAGACTGAAAGTCAAAACCACAGCACTGCACCAGCTACTAAGAAGGAGAAAAAATGACTGCTGTAGCTGAACCCAGGACATAATTTTATCTAAACTTAGAAAAACTTCAGTTGATTTCATGTGTTTGAATACTGATCTAGAAGCAGAGTTGGACGTAGCTCTCTGTTAGCGTGTTGGGTGTGTTTTCAATTGAGGAGAAGTTGCTCATCCTCAAGAATTTTGTGTCCTTGGCCAAGATTTTCTAAGGTGGTTAAACATTATATTCCACTGTGGGAGGAGAGGGATGAGAGAATTCACCTGCTGCAGTTTGCAGAAGACATTGCAGGTGGTGGAGGTGCCTGTTTTGGAACCCTGCAGCTTGCCTGCTGATGGGTCAGCAGGAGGATAGGTGCACTGCAGGTAGGAACTGTGGCTGGTGTGTCTCAGCTCCACTTCTTTGTCTCAGAGTTGGAGAGTCTGAACTCCAAGATTAATCCTTTTATTACACCGTTGCCTCTGACATGCTGGTGGAGTTTAAAGACTAGAGAGAGTTTAATTGGGAACATTGTTTCTGCATGTTTGCAACATACTTGGTAAATGGAGGAAACCAAAATACATAAATCAGGATTCTGCTAACAGCCTACAGCAGGATTACTGAGTGTGGTTTTGGAAAGTGTGGTTTGGTCCTCCATGAACCACAAGTTCTACATGGAGCGCTTCTTTGTTGAATTAGTTTTAGAGGGAAATAAAACTGATGTGAGCAGCATGATGAATATTGAAAGCTTTAAAAATACAACAAGGGCTTTGAAATAGAGATGAAGCTACCATGGTGCCAGTATAGAGCTAGGAGTAAAGTGCTTCAGCCTGCCTTAACTGGAGGTGTGCTGCTGCACCTTGAGCCAGCAGAAGCTGTCACTGAGACAGTACTTTAGAGGGAGGTTCAGGACTGCTGTTTCAAGGATGGTATCCAAGAGAAAGCACTTTCTCTTCTGACCATCTTGGTGTGCTAGAGGAGTGGTGAAATAGGGGATATGTGTCCTCTTGTGTGGTATATGAGCTCCCAGCTGCAGCTTGGTTCTTGGTGTTTTCTCAGATCATTATTTCCTTTTATTATAAATGGGCCTGTACAAGCTGCTTTTGGTGCTAGGTGCTTCATTTATCCTGTATTAGGACAGTTGTATAATGAGAGAGTTGAGCACATGGTCTGCCTCATGCAGCTCATGATCTTTTCCAGTGAACAAACAGATGTTAAAAGATTCCCAAAGAGCTTCACAGGAGAGCTTTTAAGGAAAGATAAGTCTGCCTGTCATGGCTTCCTTTAGGAATACCTAGGTTTGGATCACAAGGACATAAGGACCAGCATCACAGTAGTGCTGGAATTAGTTTCAGGCTAGATAGTTCAGGTAACACCAGCAAACAGATGCTGTATCAGCATGGGGACTCAACCTAGACTGATACATTTAGTACCTTGGAGGAGCCTTACAGGCCATGTTGAGTTCTGTGCTACCACAGATGGACTGTTAAGGAGTATCAGAGAGCTGCAGCAGGCTGGATGCATCTTCAGATGCACAAATGCTTTTCTAACAGAAGGCTCAAGGTATCCTTATGACATTGATGTCTGGCAAAAGTTACTGAAAGACAGGAATGAATATTTTAATTGCTAAGCAGAATTCTGTGAAATATATTACTCAGTCATTTGTATGGAAGATCCTATTTTTTTCTGTTAGGCTTACATGAAATTTGGACACTGCTCTGCACTTTGGTGGAGGGGCTCAGGCACAAGAGAGTCACACTCTGAAACGAGGTGGTTTGTTCTTTGTTTCACTGTCATCAGCATCATTCCAAAGATTATGGAAAATGCGCTGCCTGGAAGGCTGGCAATTCCTTTTGATGTGGGAATTGCTAGCCCCATGATGTCTGTGGCTGCCAAATGGCTGAGCTGTTGCTTTCTCCTTGCTGCCTGTGAAGACATCCTGTGAGTTGAGTGCCATCCACCTTTCCATCTCAGTTATGTCAGCAGGCATGGCAGCATCCTGGCACAGGTATCTCCCTTGGGTTGGAGGTCGGTGCCATGTTATACAAACATTCCTGTTTATCATCATGTGCAGCCTTTTCTCTGACCCTTGTTCATTTTCAGACATGTTGGGATTTACTGCATACCTGAGCCTGCCTCTCTCTTCTTTTTACATTGTGTTCCTGATGACTATATGCCAAAATCCTGTTACACCTACCCCAATACAGCGAGAGGTAGTGTGCATCTCATTCTTCCAGCTTTTTAATGTGTTTCCAGAACCTTTTTGAAGTGTGATCCTTTCTGAAGTACGTATGTTTCAAATTAGTCAAAATATCATCCTTATTTTAAAGAATGGATTTTGTATTTGCATTGGTACTGCCTGGAAAACCTCGCTGGTTGTTATTCAGACCAGAGTACTGCTGCTTTTGCATTCTGCCCAATAATTTGACTGTCCCACTGCTTGTGAGGAAACCTCCAGGCAAATCCCAGGAACCTCTTTGAAGTTTGTACTCAGCAGAAGACACACAGGCATTAGATGGTCAATGGGAAAAAAAATATAGTTAATAAAGGTTATTTTGTTGATCCAGGATACATGTGGATGTGGCAGGATGCCTTGTGAATAATGTGGCAAACATGGGCCAGCTGGCTGCACCCTCTATCTGGTTTTGCCTGAATGATGTTAGTTCTTCAAGAGAAATACTACAGTAGTATTTAAACATAACTACTTTCCCTTTTATTGTCTTTTTGAGTAGTATGTCTGCTTTTTGTGTTATTACTACTGGACTAGACTGATCAATTGTATTTCTCTGTCTGGTATGTTCAACATTTAAAATGATGGTTGTAGTTTTAGCTTATGAATAGGTTTTGGAGCTGTTGGGATGGAAATTGCTTATGTAGATAACTGTTACAGGAGTGGCTGTAATCTCAGTAGTTTCATCCAATTGGTCTAGGGCTTAGGGAACTTCTGGGGCCTTGAGCAGCTGTGGGCATTGCATATGCATGCATGTGGATGCAGTTTCTGATGTGTCAGATCTCTTCTGTGTGTATGAATCTACTCTGTGTCTCATATACAGTAGCAGTCTGATGCTTCTAGTGTGGGGCATGCTGTGTCCTCTTTTCTAGTGAGCCAAGTCTTTAATAGTGGCTTTCTCCTTTTCCATGTTTATCTGGAGGACTGATAGCTCAGTGTATGCCCTTCTTTGATTAATAGCATCTGACCTCTCCTCTGCTGGCAGTGAGAGGGGAAATTAATTTACTTTTGATCCCTTAGGGAACAGGCAGAAGCTGCATGGTTGCATCAGCATCATTTCAGGAGTGCACAGGTCAGAGATCACTGCACTCCTCTTATCCTAATCTCTGCTTCAGTATTCTGTAACTTCACATCTGAATGCTCTGTGCTAGCTACCTAGTATGTGTTGAACTGAGAGAGCTAAAGTGAAGTATTAAGTTCATTAATCGAGGTGCTCAGCTGGCAGTTTTGTTTTAACTACTACTCTGCTGCTGTGGTATCTGTGTAAGATGGAGCTGTGCTTTTATCAGTGGTCTGTCTTGAGCAAAGAATGAAGGATAGCTGCAGCAAAGCACTATAAACAGATACTACACTCACATGCATCCAATACTAATTCATCCTTTTAGCCTTTTAGAATTTATTCTAAAGGAATAGGCAGAATCTACGATAGCATTTTAATTCTGTTTTCCATTCACCCTAAACCAGCATCGTAGCACCCTGTAAGCTTAGTGCAGGATTGTCTGTGCCCCAGAACTCCTCCACAGAGGCTGAAGGGCACAGTGCTTCCCCATGGTAGGTTAGCATGAAGCAGGGGTCCTCCTTAAGGTCCCTCCTTGGCGAAGTAGCTGCAAATTATGTTGGTATCACCAAAGTTTCAGTGAAAGAATAGCAGGGGAAAAACCATCTTTAAGTAGAATAGACTGCTGGAAAAAGCCTAAAGTTGCATTCATCTAGATTGATGATAGTGGTGTCTCTAAAAATACATATAGCTATGGTGATGTAAGTTGAAGGCTGGTTGGTGGGATTTCTGTGCAGTTGTAGGGAGTCTGGAGTTAAAAACGTGTCAGAGCTACATGCTGTGCCGAAGAGGGGTGAGATGTAGGAGTCTTGTGTAATTATTTTAGTTACAGCAACTTAGATTGATTCCTGATTATCACTAATTGTTACGTTTTGACATGAAAAACTATGCCCATTTTCTTGTGCCTGCAGTTATTGCTGTACCTCACGAAATGAATGTCTGCCCTTTGCACTTCTAAGAGTTCAGAGAATCCGGTGAGGTTATGCTGGATATTTTGGGATGATGACCTGTTAATACAGGATTTTTATATATTTTTTTCCTTATTATAGACCCTAAAGCGACAGAGCCACCTGGCACTCTATTTCTTTAACACTATTCTAGCTCATGGGGATCTACGAAACAACAAACTAAACCAGCTTTCAGTCAATCTCTGGAATCTTGCTCAGAAGCATGGCTTTGCTGACACCAGTACAATGGTAAGGAAAAGGAGTAATGCAGAGAAACTGTAGTTCTTAAGTTCTTTTTGAACTCCTCATTTGACAAAAGGTAACATTCCTTTATCTGAATAAAGCCAATCGCTTTACAAGTTGCTCTTTTAAATAATAAATCAGCTTAAAAAACCCCACTTATTTTTAAATGCTTCTTAAGGAATAAGCAGCTTGTCTTACTTCAAGTGGTCTCTATCTTTCTAGCACTTTTACGTGTTTTTCACACATTAAGGAATCTGGAACTGTTTTCTGTAACGAAAACTATCTTTAAAAGTAGTACAGCATTTTTATTAGTGGAAGGAACTGCATAGTGTAAGCTTGGAAAGTGGGCGTTCTAGAGCCTTTAAGATATACATGAATAACCAGCTCTGGAGCAAGAAACGCAAGTGTTCATGAAGGCAGTGAAATTTAGAGAAAATCATGAATGTCTATTTAAAACTCTTTCACATAAATTAAATGATGGCCCTTGAACTGAGAAAAGACAAAGAAAGACATTTAAAATCTCAAAATACCTTTATTTTCTTACCCAGGTGACAACACTAGAATACATCAAGAAGCAAAGCAAACAACCTGAAATGAGTCACTTCACGGACTTGGCCCTTCGGCTTCCTCTGCAGTCCAGGACCTGAGGAATGCCCACTTAACA